CCTGTAAAGAATAATAGACAAGCTCACTAAGTAAGACAGTATGTGCATTTTACTTAATGCTTACATAAAAGAGAGCATTTTGCAATATATTCCCATTATCATCCCTTGCTCATTTGTTTCAATTAGCTGCTTGTGAATATTGTCGTATATTTTTAGAAATATGCATATGGAGTACCATTTTACACCATTTTCTTGATCATCGTGTCAAGCAAATCATGATCTATACTTATAAACACTGCTGACAAAATTTTTGTATTTAAGAGCAAAAATTAAGCAGGAACACCTTAATGTAACTGCACATGAATATCCCTAAATCACCTAGAACTTGTGAGATTCCTTAATTAGTTCCGAAATAGTTTGAGCTTCCTTTGCACATCTCCTGTGTTAGCAGGACTAAAGTTTCTGAACATCTTTTGGCCTTTCCATTGTGGCCACAAGTTAGTCATAGCTCCAGCCATTACAGCCAGGAAGGAAGAAGGAGGAACAGAGGAAGCAGAAATAGCTTTTGTAATTAGGAATGAAAAACTTTCTCCCAAATCCTCAGCAGGCATCTGCTTAAGCACGAGAGTCTTTAGCTTCCCAGACTGCATTAGAGGAAGAGAAGGAAGAGAGTAAAAAGTTGGAGTGGCTATTGAGTAGCCTATTCTTCAGGATCTGCCATGGAGAATAGATCAAATGGAATGTCTGACATCTTTGTTCCTAGAAATTCTTAGACACTTTCTCCTACCAGAGAGTTTCCATGGCTGTGTCCTTCCATGAATTCCTGCTACCCATATCATTTGTTGTGGCCCCTCCTTTGTCTCTGAAGATTCTTTCTTCCATTTTTCTTCTAATTCTAGGCCCTTCAGCCCTATCTCCAGAGGTTCTCAAAGAAGTGAAATTTTCTCTTGTAGGATGACAGGCCATTTTAAGCATCACTCAGTCTAGTTCACCTTGAATGGCTGAATGAATTCGATAAGTTATTTTCTTAAACAAAAGAACAATTGTATACCTAATACAAATGATGTTTTCTGTATATAGCAAACAATTCCAACTGTAATTAACTTTTATCTTCAAATTATGCATATTTACCAGAATTGATAGCTGGCACATAGTGTTGTGCCAGGGATAGTTACTATTGACATCCATCCCTCTAGTACAGAGAAAAATGTATACTACTGCCTGACACATCCCAGTTTGTTTTGACTGGAGTAATTCTGTAACTCTGGGCTGTAAGCAGCCTGAGTTAAAAAGGAAAGAAGAGGAAGAAGAAAGGAAAGTAGGAAGGAGGGAGGAAGGAAGGAAGTAATAGAGGGAAGGAAGGAAGGAAGAAAGGTAGGTAGGAAAAACAAAAGGAAGGAAGGAAAGATGGGCAATTAGGGACTGTCAGTCTATATGTATAGAGTCATAAAATCCCAAAAAAATATGTTGCCCTTGTATTGCATTTTTTAAATTTCAACAAGTTTTTGGGGAGCAGGTGGTTTTTGCTACATGAATGAGTTCTTTAGCAGTGATTGCTGAGATGTTGGTGCACCCATCACCTGAGCAGCGTACACTGTACCCAATGTGTTGTCTCTTATCCCTCACCTGCATCCCACCCTTTCTCCAAGCCCCCAAAGTCCATTGTGTCATTCTTATATCTTTGTGTCCTCATAGCTTAGCTCCCTTGTTGCCCTTGAATTTACTCCTTTATTTCCAAAGCTAAAAAGTTAAAGCATTTTAAAAGTTAGTTAGACCTCTACTGCATTAGCATTGTGTGTATATGTTTGTGTATCTATGTGTGTATTGCATGTTACAGCTTGAATAAACTTGCTCTATCTCTTCTTAGATATTAGTTCAATTTCAGCCAATGGCAAAAACAAATTTCTTTGCAACTTACCAAAACAGAATGTAAATCTAGTGAAAACCAAAAAAGTAATTTTCACTACCATCAAAATCAATGGGGTTAATATGTCTTACTGCTTTTTCTTTTGATCACATGGAGACTCTTTTTATCTCCCATAAATTGGATGATTGTATTTGTCAGAGTCTCTAGAGAAATAGAACCAACAGGAGATTATGTGTGTGTGTGTGTGTGTGTGTGTGTGTGTGTGTGTGTGTGTGTATACTGTATAGGGAGAGAGAGAGGAGAGATTTAATAGAAAAAATGACTCCTGCTATTATTGAGGCCAAGAAGTCCCACAATAAGCTGTCTAAACGCTGGAGCACCAGGGACGTCTGTGCTGTAATTTAGTCTGAAGTTGAAGATGTAAGCCTCAGAGTTCAAAGATCATGGAACCAGTGTTTGGGGCAAGAGAAGCTGGATGTGTCAGCTCAATGAAGTGATAATAGCCCCATCCTGAAGCTGACCCTCTCCTTGTTCAGGAACAAAAAGCCACGCTTGTAAAACTAATGAAAGGCCAGGAGGTTAGGATTATTAAAGGAGCCTGAATTCTTCCAGGATGCAGATGTAGATAAATGATAACCAGCCATTGTCCCCTAGCTTGCTTTTCTATGATTCATTACTGCTCAGGAGTCATGTAGCCGGAAGCCACAAGATTTGTAACTTCCCCAATTGCTCCTGTAGATAGCATCACTATTGTAAAACCTAATATTGGTATTTGAAATATTTTTCAGGTTTTTGTATTCTGATGACTGACTAACTCTACCTAGAATCACTCAGATCCATACTAAAGAAACTGACTCAACCAGTCCTATAGCCCCCATATAGAAGCTGACTCAGTATACAAAGATTATTTTTGACCCTCTATGATTTCATGCCCAACCCCACCAATCAGTATTCCCTATCCCCTAGCCCTCTACCCACCAAACTGTCTTTGAAAAAATATAGCCTCTGAAATCTCAGGGAAGTGGATTCCAGAAACATCTCCCATCCTTTTCCTTGGCTAGACCTGTGATAATTAAACTATTTCTCTACTGCAACACCATGGCCTCAGGGTATTGGCTTTTTTTGTACAGTGGGCAAGAAGAACCTCTTGGATGATTACAATAGCTGGCCAACTTATGAATCTTGAAGATGGGTCTTTCCTGTACAATTTAGATCCAGTGCATACAGTTTCATGGTTTCCTTCCCCAGGCCCTCGAGGACATCTGCAAATATTTATCTAATTTTATACACAACATTCCTTTAACTACATCAGAGTATTGCAACAACTTACACAGAATACCAAGATTTTATCTACTATTCTAGGTGTCAAGTAAAACCTAAATTAGATTATCTAAACAAATTTACCAGACAGGTTATACCAGATTGTGTGTCACATAAAATTTAAAAAATAGATCTCTCTTCCTTTGATCTTATAGAGAAGTTAAAATCTCAAATATAGACATTACCATTCTCCACTCTTTCTGATTCATTAGTCCTTGCCAGATTAATTTCATTTACATTCCAAGTTAAAATCTGGTTCTTTCTTTAGTTTCTGAAGGGTGTGTGTATTTTACTTTCAAATTTCATTTGTCCATTCCTAGTATATACAAAAGCAGCTTGTATTCTGCCATATTCAATTATTAGTTCTAGGAATTTTTATTGTAGTTTTGAATTCCTTGATTTTTTTACATAGACAATCGTGTCATCTGTGAACAAAGATAGATGTATTTCTTCCTTTCCAACCTATGTACATTTTATTTCCTTTTCTTGTCTTATTGCATTAGCTAGGAATTCCAGTACAATGTTTAATAGGAATGATTAGACAGGATACTCTTGCCCTATTCCTGATCTTAATGGGAAAGTTTCTAGTTTCCCACCATTAAGTATGATATTAGCTATAGGTCTTTTGTAGATATTATTTATCAAGTTGAAGAAGTTTCCTTTTATTTCTAGTTTGCTGAGAGTTTTATGATTGAATGTTGATTTTTTTCAAAAGTTTTTTCTATATTAATTGATATAATCATGTAGTTGCTTTTCTTTAGCAAATTGATATGATGGATTACATTAACTAACTTGCAAATATTGAACTTGCCTTGCATACCTGGAATAAATCCCTCTTGGTTGTGGTTTATAATTCTTTCTATACTTTATTTAATTTTGTTTCCTAAAATTGTTTGTGTATTTTTTGAATCTATATTCATGATATGTATTAGTCTGTTGTTTTGTTTTATTTTGGTTTGGTTTGATTTTTTTCTTTGTAATGTCTTTGGTTTTGACAATTGGATAATCTGGCTCCAGAAAATAAGTGAGAAAGTGTTCCCCCTGCATCTAATTTCTGGAACAAGCTGTAGAATTTGGTATAATTTCTTCATTAAATATATAATAAAATTCACTAGTAAAAGCACATGTGCCTGATGCTTTCTATTTTGGAAGTTTCTTAATTAATGATTTGATGTCTCCAATAGATACAGACATATTCATATTGTGTATTTCTTCTTGTGTGAGTTTTGGTAGGCTGTTTCTTTCAAGAAATTGGTCCATTTAATCTATCTAATTTATAGGCACAAAACTATTCATAACATTTCTTTATTATTCTTTCATTGTCCATGAGATCAATGATGATAGCTTCTGTTTTGTTTATAATGTTAATAATTTGTGGCTTCTCTTGTTTTTCTTGGTTAGGCTGGCTAGTGGTTTATTAATTTAATATTCTTTTTAAAAATTCTTTGTATTTTTTTCTATTTTCAATTTTATTGATTTTCACTGTGATTTTATTTTTTTCTTCTGCTTATTTGGGTGTGAATTACTCTTCTTTTTAAGTTTCCTACAATGGAAAATGGATTATTGATTTGAGATATTTCTCCTTTTTCTAATATGTATTATATTATGAACTGAATTGTGTTCATCCAAAAATTCATATTTTGAAGCCTTAACTCCCAATGTTACCATATTTGGAGTTATTGTCTATGAGAAGGCAATAAAGATTAAATGATGTCATAAGGATATTCTTTTAAGGACACCAGTCCTATTGGATTATAGCTTAATAATCCATTAGATTAAGCCATAATCTAATAGGACTGGTGTCCTTATGAGAAGAGAAAGTGACCCCAAAAAGCCCTCTTTTTTTTCCCTCTCTCCCTCTGTCTCTCCACAGGAAAAAGACCATGTAATTACACAGCAAGAAGGCAGCCGTCTATAAGACAAAGTGAGGCCTCAGCAGAAAGAGACCCTGATGAAACTTTGATCTTGGACTTCTAGCCTCCAGGACTGGGAGAGAATAAACTGTTGTTTTAGCCACTCAATCTGTGGTCTTTTGTTATGGCAGTTCAAGCAGATTAATATACATTTGATGCTCTAAATTTCCCACTAAACACTGCTTTTGCTCTACCCCACAAATTTTAATGAATTGCATTTTTTTAAATTTTCATTTAGTTTAAAATATTTTTACACTTTTCTTGAAACTTCCTTGACTGTGTTGTTATTTAGAATTGTGTTGTCACAAATATTTGATAGGAATTTTTTTAGCTATCTTTCAGTTACAGATTTCTAGTTTAGTTCCATTGTGGTCTGATAGCATGTTTTGTGTGATTCTATTATTTTAAATTTGTTAAGGTATGTTTTGTGATTCAGAATGTAGTCTGTCTTGGTGGACATTCCATGGAAGCTAGAGAAGAATGTGTATTCTGCTTTGCTGTATGAAGTAGTCCATAAATGTCAATTAAATCCAGGTGATTGGGCCGACATGATGTTCTGCCCACTGGATCTGTCATTTACTAGTAGAAGGGTGTTGAAGTCTTCAGAGGTAATTGTTAATTTGTCTATTTTTCCTTACTGTTCTATCCATTTTTTCCTCAGGTAGGCATATAGTTATTAAGTATTATTACATCTTCTTAGATAGTTGGCCCCTTTATTATTATGGAAAGCCTCTCTTTATCACATAATGTTCCTTGCTCTGAAGTCTGCTTTGATATAAATTATAATAACTGCTTCGGCTTTCATTTCATTACTGTTATTATGGTGTATCTTTCTTCATCCCTTTACTTTTAATCTGTTTGTACCTTTACATTTAAGATGGCTTTCTTGACTGGGCACGGTGGCTCACGCCTGTAATCCTAGCACTTTGGGAGGCCAAGGCAGGTGGATCATGAGGTCAGGAGTTCAAGACCAGCCTGGCCAACATGATGAAACTCCGTCTCTACTAAAAATACAAAAATTAGCCGGACATGGTGGTGGGTGCCTGAAATCATAGCTACTCGGGAGGCTGAGGGAGGAAAATCACTTGAACCTGGGAGGCAGAGGTTGCAGGGAGCCAAGATTGCACCACTGCACTCTAGCCTGAGTAACAGAGTGAGACTTTGTTTAAAAAAAAAAAAAAAAGATGGCTTTCTTTTAGACAATATATAGTTGGGTCCTATGTTTTATCTACTCTGATAGCCTATCTTTCAATTGGTGTATTTAGACCATTCACATTTAAAGTGATTATTGATATAGTTGGATTAATTTATACCATAATTGTAACTTTTCATTCATTATCCTTTTTTGTTTCTTTTTTCTGAAATCTCTGATCTTATCATTTTATATACCTCCATTTTCCATCTTAATATATATGTCTTTAAAACAAATAGTAGTTATTCTTGAATTTGTGGTATATATTTACATTAATCAGTGTACTTTCACTATAACCACTTCACAGGTTGTGTAGGTACCTTAAAAGAGAGTATTCTTGATTTTTCTTCCCTTTACTTCTTATTACATGTTGTCTTTTATTTCATTTCTCCATAAGCTATAGTCACCCAATCTAGCGATGCTATTATAGTTTTGAGCAAGCAATTATTTATTAGATCAATTGAGAATTAGGAAAATACATGATTTTACTTTCTGTAATGGACTAAATTGTACTTCTCCAAAACGCACATTTTAGAATCCTTACCCGCAGTATCTGGTAAGCATAAGTCCTATCTTTCATATGTGGTATATATTCTGAACCAGCAACCAATGTTTGGAGCCATTTCTCTCATTGCTAGAATAGAGGTGAGAACTAAAGGACAAAAGTAGAAATGATGCAGTTGTGGTTTTCCTAAGAACATGTTCACAAACTTTTTGATTTCCATCCTTGCTATGTGAGCTCCACTGTTCTAGAAGTCTCTACCTGTTTCAGTTAAATTCTCAATAGGAACAAATAGCTTATGCAAATTGGAATAATTCAAGTAGAATTTACTTACAAGAGGATAATTACAAAATTGCAGGCAGAATGTAGTGGAACCACAAGGAATAGTGAAGAAACCCAAGGCCAGCAGGCACTCCATCTAAGCCCAAAGGAACAAGGAGTTTTAGAAATTAGGAGAGTGATCCCTTTGGAGCCAGCTGTTTTGAAAGGAGCTATGATCATCTGTTGAAAGATACAGCCAGCCAGTGGCAATCCCAGAGGGGTAGAAACATGAATAAATACCATGACTGCACCCTCCTTCCTCCCCCACAACTCTCTCCAATGAAACTCCAATTGACCAAGCTCAGCAGGGAGCAAAAAGCCATTGGGTCCTTTGGTCATTAATCATTAGAGCAGACAAGAGTGTAAGACCAGTAATGCACATTTAGAGAGAGAGGCACCCAGAAGATATTCAGCAAGCATCCAAAGAAAAAAATGCAGAGAACAATTATATAAGATAAAGGTCAATTGTATTTCTATATACCAGGAATGAGCAATAAAAAAATTAAATAAACACACACACACACACACACACACACACACACACACACGCA